CACATATTCTTATTTATACATTATTTTGTTGAAACTGGAAAACTAAAAGGAAGCACAGCAGTAGCCCTAACAAAGCAGCTATGGACTCCTAATAGTAGAAATGGAGTAAGGACAACACCAGCTTTTGCCTCAATGTGTTACACCCTGCCAGCAAATGTAGCATGTGCAGGTTTAACAATGGAGAAAATGGATCCAAAACTGCAGAAAAAAGCCAAACTCTTTGGAAAGCCGTTTCTGGGGTAGCTGCAAAAATGTGCCTTGGTTTGAGTTCCATGATCTAACACTTCTGTACTGGAGTAAGCACAGGACCAAACAGAATTGCAGCCCCTGCCCATAGGATAAAAGGAAATGTAGAAATAATATGTAAAATTGTTCCCCATTGCAAGGGACTGATAATGGGCAAGTAATGACAGGCAATTGGTGTGCAGAGCACCACACAGCTAGTGACAGCTGGAGGGACATATATGGGGAAATGTGGAAGGTATGCAGAAAGAAGGGAAAGGTGGGGAACAATAGAAGGCAGGTGTAGAAGAGCTGGTATAGGATGGCAGGGGAGAAGTATGTAGAAAAAATAGGCATATGATTCTGGCTGAGACGTAGGTGTGAACAAAGGACAAGTAACATGGGCAGCAGGTCCGTTTCTTCACAAGGTTGCAGTGACAGCCTTGTGAAGATATGAGATAAGAGGGAGGCAATCTGTCCAGAATGAATGAGGGGGTAGGTTTACTGGGAGAAGTGAGAAGCACCCAGGGAGAGTGGAAGGGAATGTGCTTACAAGTGAGAGGCACTCTGGGATTGACATGAGGTATGCTTTGATATTGCTTTGTATGCTGTAAACATTTCATTTGTGCCGCACTATCAGTGAATGTTCAGTTCCAATTGATATATATTCTGTTACAGTAACTGGAAGCCTGGCATAATTCTACATCTCCCATTACTGGCTGATCTTACAACTGGTGTGAAGGAAACACTGGCTGAATTCACACTTGATATCACTTACGTATCATCCTATTCTAACATGCACCATCTAAATCATAGAAAAAAGTCTACTGCAGAACATTACATAATTTATGTGTAAACCCATTTTGCTCAAGTGTATGCTCACTCACACATCAGCTCCTTCAGTACTAAAATTATCAAGATTTGGCCTCTCACACCTTCCCTGTATAGAAGGTATGGCTCAACCAGTACACTACAAATTACATCTAAAAGGACACAGATAGCTCCACATCCAGTGATCTGGGATAAAAAATAATATTGGAAGCAATTTCAGATTCTACTCCAGTGCCTAGACCTCTGAAACAATCACATTTTGTTATTTTTAAAGCATTTTATCTCCCCTCTTCAGATTGACCAGTTGAATTTGACTGTCTACAAAGTGCTGTCAAAAGCACAATGTAAGCTACATGGGAAGAAACTACTTTTCTTATATCCCTTTCAGCTACTGCAGCTTTAGGTGTTTCTTGTAACTATACTGGGCTCAAAATTTTCAGAGAGGTGTGATTGTTAAGCTGTTGGTGTCCCTTTAATAGCAATATAAATTGAATTAAAAGCAGGTTTATTTATCATTGGTGAGAATTTATTCCAAAAAAGTGTTTAGTGTGGCTGAGACGCAGTCACCATTTTGTTTTAGGGGTGTGATTGGTGTGGGGGGAAGGTTTCTTAACTTGTCTATTTTAATTCAGACTGACATTTGGCAGAAAAGACAAGGGCTGATGCCAGTTTTTTGGGTGCTAGGCTGTGCTTGAAGGGGGCAGGGGGAGAGAGAGAGAAGGAATGCAAGAACAGTCAGAAAAATAACTGCAGTGGCTTCAAATGGAGGGTTTCCCATTAATATATATTCTTGTATTTGTCCCGGGGGAACATTCTCTAGCATTGACCTAAGGGGGTGAACCTAACAGAGGGGTAAAAAAGCTTAATCTAAGTCTATACATTTAACAGCCAATCCATATTATAGATAAGGTAATGTAGACTTTGAATCTACTTTAGCTACCCAAAACAAGACACTAGATGAAAAGCAGAGAAGAAGGGCTAGAGGTTTTCTTCCCTCTGGATTATTGGCTTCTTGGAAGTACTTTTAAGGATTTTGGAAAGCACTGCTGATGTTCACATCCCCACTTTCTTTCCAGCTCTTCCCCATAGAAAGGACTGCAATGCCATCAAGCTCTGTTGCCATGAGTTGTCAGGCAGCTCCAAGCAATGAGGTTGGAGAGGACTCCACTGAGTATGCATCAAAAAGTTCTGCATACATTTTAACATGAGGCACTAATCTGTTCAACTGCCTAGTCTGTTCCAAAATCTGTTGTGGGAGCTTCATATTCCAGTCCTCCCTGATAATTTATTATGGATGGGGACAGTTAAACAAAGGAATTGGGTCATACAATTACAATTAAAAGCAATCATCCAGGGCAGTCTTTTAAACTGAGGATCAATCATGATAAGATCTCCAGCTGATGGAAGAAGGTTCCCTTCTCCTCTCTATCCCAAATTATCTCTACCCAGTCATCATCTGTTGAGCTTTTCTTACCCCTCATTCCCATTCATGCAAGGATTGCTCACTTTACTGCCTTTTGGCCATCTGTTCAACACCCCAGACTTCCACCTGTCCCATGGTATTTTCTAATTAGCCCTGTAGCAGCCTGGCCTCTCTGTTGAATAGGCTGTCCTGCCAAAGGGCTGGGATATGTCAGAAAGCACTAAAGGTGGTACCTCTCAAACTGTTCTGAAGTCCTTATGTGACTTGGATGATTCTTTGTATGTTTTGAAAACAAGAAGTAGTAAGAATTGTCTTTGTCCTCTTCAAAAAGCAGTGAGTTCTGTCAAGCAGCAGACCTAACATATTATAGTTGATGCATCCTGTGACATTGTATGGAGTTTGTAGCTGTGGAAGAGTCAGGATAATTCCAGCAACCTTATCTCTTGGGTCCTGAAGAGCCACAGATCATGTCAAAGGAGGTTCTTTAGGTGAAAGCATTCAATGCAGTGATAGTGGTGTCACTGATACAGGCAGGAGGTTGCTTGGATCGGAAAGTAGAGCTCTTTCACTCCATCCTCACCTTCATTGGCTTTGCAACACAGTAAACTTCCCTTCTGTCCAAAAAGATCCTAACATAGCTCTCATGGGTGCAACTATATGTTCATTAATGTGCTGTAATTATGGTACATTAAGCTTAGTACCTGTAATTACAGGTACTAACTTAATGCGCCGTAATTGGCTCTACTGTGCAGTAACACTGGTGAACATTTTTTTCATGATGCTAATGTGCAGTAGATTGATATTTTACTGTGCATTAGCACATTGGCATGGTTTTTGCCAGCCACGCTAATATGCAGTAGAATTAGTCTACTTCACTTTCTCATGTAGACATACCCAGTAAATCTTGTTTCTACTGCTCCCACATCATATGGAAGGGTATCAAATGGAACAGAAAGTGTTGCCTTCTCCTCCACGGCTTACCTGAACAACACAAGCAGTAATTGGACCTTGTCTTGGGATATCTGACATGACAACACGTGACAGCACATTTTGTACAACACAGAAGAAAAGTTAAAGGCATGAAAGCATGTATACTCCATTCTAGAGCTGTTGGTTTCATGTACCAATTCATCTTAATGCAAGGAGTCACTTGGGCACTTGCTTGTTAAGGACCAAATTGGGTGCATCCAGTTGCTATCAACTTTGATTAAACCCAACAGGAGCTACATCATTCTCAGATAAAACCTAGCCCTGGGTGCAGTTTGGAGTGAGTGTGTATAGGATGCCACAGATTAAATGTCTCAGAGGGGCAGGGAAGCTCTCTCTAGATATCTGACCCCTAACCAGAAAGAAAATAGACTCCAAATACTCCATAAGTACTGTGGAGAGATGTGTGTAAATGTTTCTACCATCTCTTAAGTAATTTTCCTTGCTCCTGTATATTTCTTTTACTCCTTCAGTGTAATAGGCCCCTCTACACAGTTTAATTTTGTTTGGCTTGGTAAAACAGAAATATAGTCCAAGAAACATCATCAAATTATTTCATTAGTGTTTTGCTTCTCTCTTTGTTTCCTTCTTGTTTATAACACAAGATTCCTTTAAGTGATGTGTCTCTAACCCTAGTTTGCTGGGTTAACTGGTCCTATCAATGAAAAGGATTCATGTGCCTGACTGAAGAGGTATATTCAAAGAAAACAATGGCTGTACTCTGGGGCCTGCAGAGTTTTTGCCCCTTACAAGCTGGTCCTCTTGTGTTCCTGTCCCTGCCACTTATGTTACAATTCACTGGCAAAAGATGAGTTTAAACAATGGTTCTCAGCTCAGAGTGTGAAATGCTCTTTCAGACAGTTCCTCTAACAAAACAGAAAGCTGGCCAATGAGATGGTGCCTCTTACCAAGCAGCCTGCAAACTGAAAACTGGAGAATCTGCATTGTAGAATAACAGTCTAGTCAGATGCTGGGAAGAGCTCTTCCCATTTGAAAATACAGATGGATTCTGTGCTTTTCTGAGCTTTGGTTGCCCTAAAGAGCTCAGGAACTATCTCTGATCTGTGCACATGGCTCTGCAACAAGACAGTATGCCTGAACTATAACAACCACCTGAATCCCGAGAGTCATCACAAAACAATAACATGGTAATTTAGGCACCTTCTTTCTTCTCCCCTTCTTTTCTAACCCAGGTACCGGTTTTACCCAGTGGTCACATTACAGACGCAGTCCTTGGAAAACTTATAGGCGTAATCATGATTGTAACACATCAGCAAAAACACCACTCCTCCCAGAGTCATCCCTAGAGGTGTGCGGGACCTGGAGGGGAGGGGGGCAGAGTGGCTGGAGCCAGCAGAGCGGGGGTGGTGTCGAGCCAGCAATGCTTGGCAGCGGTGGCAGAGCCGGCAGCAGCAGCATGTGGCCGCAGTGGCAGAGTCTCAGAGCCCGGGGCAGTCACCCAGATTCACACCCCCCAGGGACAGCCCTGACTCCTCCCATGAGAAAGCTTACAGTGACTAATCTACAGACATTAATACATCAATGTTTTAACCCAAACTTGGAGGATAGAAAAGCCAGGGATCACTCTAACTACAGATTTTAGATTCTACTCTAATTATATTATTTTACACCATGGTTGTCCTGTGACACAGCTGATGTCTGTTCACGATTTCCTCCTAAACTATGTAATAAAAATGCGGCAAATACAGCAAGTACTGCTTCAAGGCTTAACTCTACGCACTATGTTTCCAGGGCACTAGTTATTTTAGAACAAATTCCTCGGATAGGGCCCATGTCTCTATATTTGCCTGAATACTGAACATTCAATTGGCAATCATTAAATGATAATAACAGTTGGTAACCAATAAATATTAATAGTATAACCATGACTTCCATGTTTCTCCATCTCTCTCCATTATGCCCCCATCAGGCAACACGTGAAAAGCGTGTTCGGCCATAACAGATGTGCCTTTTGTTCCCCGTACTTGTTAGCAATTAGTGGGGAGGAACATCTCTTGTCTTGGATTTGTCTTGGTACCTAACAGTTGCCTCACAAGAAGAGTCCACTAATCCTGCAAAGTTTTTTTGGTAGCAGGAGCATCTTTTTTTGGTTTTGTTTTGGTACACTGTCACACAGAATGGGACCAGACTTAGGAGCAAAGCCCATAGGCTTAACTTCAGTGTAAATAAATATCTGTAATAAATAATCATTTGTACCAGAAGAAATGACAAAGCCATTCTAGCCAGGGAGGAAACTGAAGTTCCTTGACAAATTAATAAAAGTATCATTCAGCTTCTTTTCCCCACAGAGAAGGACTTTATAGTCAGGGGTGCTGTCAGATAGGTAGGAAGGGGCTGCAAGACAGTCACTACTGACTTCACAATGTGTGTGTCACCTGGAAGAAAGAGCTGACTCAGTTGATCTCTTCCACCTGAGCTGGGAGGAAGCTCAGGTCCTGTGGCCTTAGCTCCTCCCACCCCAACCTTCAGATCAGAGTCCTAGCCACCCGTGTGAGTGAAGCAGTGCTTTAGATTGTGCTCAGCGACACTGGTTTCATGACTACCCTTAGCATCATCTCCAAATGTATGGAAGAGGTTTGAGCCAGGAGAGCTCTAGAAGAATGGAGGGGTATATCAGCATTATTTACAGAATAGCCTGTGGAGTGAGTTTTAGGAGGCCCATCTTCTAGGCAGATGGCCCATTGCACCACAGAGGATACATTTCTGTTCCAGAGAAAGGCAACAACTTCAGGATGCTACCAAGAACCAAAGCCCATACACAAACTCAGAGAGTCCTAGCACTGTGTTTGGGTCACGTTCTGGAATGGGCTCCCCTTCCACTCCCCCTCCCCCTCCTTCTGCTGCTGTACCACTGCTTTTTTTTAACAACAATGGAATTTCACATTTGGAAATGGTTTTGGCTGCTGCGGGAAGCTCGTGGTTTCTTCTGGCCGCAATCTGCTCTAACTGAGTCTCCTCTGGGTTTGAGTCAGCAGATCTGTGTAAATTTTGGATCTCAGGAACCTGGGGTAAGAGTCTTTCTCCATGAGGCTGTGCACTTTCCCCTGGGCCTCATCAAAGCAAGAAGGAGAGGGCTCCTGCACATTTCTTCTTGTCACCTCCCGTGTCTGGAAGTCTATGTTCACCTAGGAAAAATGTCCAAAAAAGAAGTTGATATAGAGTAAGCCTGGGCTTACACGGTTAAAACTGTTTGTCACAGACATAATTGTAGTGATAAAAAACATGAGTTGTTGGGGGGGAGTTGTAATATACTATTCCCCAATTTTCATACTTAGGCAGCTTAAAATAGGTACTTAATATATATTAATTTCTGTGCTATCTTGGGATGCTCAGGACCTTTGCCACTTATATTTAGGTTCCTTATTATGGATTCAGATGCCAATCTTTAGACACCTATTCTAAATCTGAAACTGTAGACCCCTGTCTTTGTTACTCCAGCTAGCCCCCCACTGATGAGGAACTCTTTTACAATACTTTTTACAAACTTCACTCTATGCATGTCAAAATTAATAAAGAATGATTTTTTAGGGGCTCAAGCTATTAGTAAAATTGGATTAAATGGCTTTACATTATTTTATTTTGAAATAAATTGTTTGGATTTTCTCATCATTTGCCACTGCATCAAAATATATTATGCCAAGACTTTTCTACTACAATTAGTATAATGTTACGATGAACCTGTGCGCTATAATTTTCATAGATTTTGTCTTAATAAAATTATGTCTTTATCCTGGCTGTCATGAGAAAACTGACTGAAAAGACATCCCTGGGAGACAGTTTCCCATTGCTACTCTGTTGAACTACTTAGGCTTCCATAATTATATAATAGGGAATTATATAATCAAGGAAGTAGACCTCTGTGTCTTGCCTCATATGTTTGTCGCACTGGTTGGTTTCAACATTAGACTTGTGGGATCAGAACTCCAGATTCTAAGCCCATTGGGAATGCATTAAGCATAACAGGACACTGATGATCTTATCCAGCTCCCATTATCATGATGAAAATATTGTTATCCACTTCAGTAGGAAATTAATTTGACCTCAGATTGCCAATGCTGGCAGGTCGCAAGTTTTGATAAAAGTCTGAGTTTTCCTCATTGACGCCATGGAATTTCCCATAGTCCAAAAGAGGAGCAATGGCAAACTCTCTCTCAGGGATGCCTTTGGAGTTAGCTTTCTAAAGATCAGTGTCATTAAGGCAGGTTGTTTGTCAGGGGAAACATTTTTTAGAAATTGGATGTATATTCACTAGAACTCCTGGCTGGGTAAAGAGTATGATGCCACAACCTGAATCACAGTATAGGATGTGACATCATCATCTTGTTAAAGGGACAATTCCCAGCTCTAAATTCTGTACTGGTTACTTAAAGAGTACAAAATCTCATTGGTGAAACTTGTGGCAAACCAAAGTGTTCCCAACCACTCCTTTTTCTTCCATCACTTAGAGAATTTTCTTTCTAGGCTTGCCTCTGAGACTAATCCCACCAGGAGGCATATGACTACCAACCTCTCGAGGGGCTTGCACATCAATAAATTCTTCAAAGATCCTGTGAGCCTTTGATGCCAGTTTGGTTGCTGATCGGGTCTTTTTAAACTCTTCACAGGCCAGCCAGAACTCCAGGTTCTCCTCGCTGAACTCTGTCTTTAGGAACGCGCGGAATGCAGCCACCCCATCTGTGAGGGGGAAACATTGGATTTATGCATGAAAGGAGAAGGAAAACAGGAAACAACTTCAGGCAGCTCCAGGTAAATCCCTGCAGATACTTCATATTCATCCATTCACCCATTTGTGACTAAGTCAAAATTTTTCAAAATACACCATTTGTAGTCTTGTCTCCTGGGTTTCTCATTACTTATTTCCACACAGGAAGGACCTTGGATTTTTGAACTGTAATGACTACAATAAACAGGAAAAGGAAGAAATGCTGAGTGATAACTGCCTCTCTGGGTAGGTGATCAAAACGCTCTTAGCTATTTTCAGTGCTCAGCATTTGTGGGATTTCAGTAATATTCCAGGCCAGCTGAGGTCACATGTTGTAAACCTAGTAGAATTTATTAGGAAATGTGAGTGTCCTAATTTTTATGCCTTAGTGTGGCAGAGCACAGGTTGTGCCTGCCACTTTAAGGGGTCTGAGCAGGTGGCAAATAGCCTGCAGGTGACAGCAGACCCGATCAGGCGGTCACATGTTAGGCAAGAGGCTGCCTGATTGGTGGAGAGGCTGGGTGCCTGGGTATAAGGCTAGGCCCCAAGAGCAGAGCTGGCAGTTGCTGCAGGGGGCTGAAGGAACAATATCACCCAGCCAGAGATCTGCTGCTCCCAGAACAGCTTGGAGATTCAGGATAGGAACTATGGGGATGGAGGAAGTTCCTGGTCCTGGGGCATAACCAAAAACTACATCCTGCTAGGGAGGATGGTGTGGTGGGGCTGCTTGTGGTGGGGCAGTCCTCAGGAAATGTCACACCTGTGCCTCTCCAGTGAAAGGTGAGAATGGGGCAGTGGAAATCCTCAGCCTCTGCTGCCTTGCAGGTGACCCCGTGGAGGGGAAAGGCTAGGGGAGTGCACCCCAACAGAAAAGCACAGGGCCAAGACCCACTGAGTAGGGCCTGAGGCAGGGTCCAGGCTAATTGAACAGGGCCTGAGACAAGGCCCAGGCCCACTGAGTGAGGCCTGAGGCCCAAGGGGCATTAGGCCCAGCAGCCAGTGAAGGGCAGGGTATTGAGGCCCCAGCAAAGGGCATGCGAAGAAGGCCCAGTATGAGGGGTGTGGCAGCAGAGCATGATTGGCTGCGGCAGCAGCTGGGCCAGGGCTCCCAGATGATGACCCAGAAGCACATCAGGCACATCCAGGATGCCAGTTCCAGGTCAAGCCTAGCTAATAAGGACCTGCTGGGCCCAGTGGGAGGAGCGCAATGCGGAGGTGGAGTTTAAAGGACACGGTGCGCAGGAGGACCAAAAGTGGCTGCAGTGGTTCCATGGCAGCTGCACTCCAAAGGGACAGCCCCTGCAGGGGCAAATGGTGGAAACCATAGCAACAAGCAGCTCTCACTGGAGCTGGCTCAGAGGAGCTACATCAAGTACCAAAGAGCAGGAAATTGGACCTTGGCAACCATGACAGCCAGAGACAGGCCAGGAAAATCTGCAGGCAGCACAGTATAGCTGTGAGTACTGGGGCTGGGCACAGGGGAAGGAGAGCTAACTTCCCTAGCCTCACTATGTGGACGGTGCTGTGATATGGACTTTTTAACTCCCAAGCAGGAGAGATGTACCGGTGTGGAGGATTTTGTATACTTTTGCATCAGCGCCAGGAAGACACTGTTGCAAATTGTGATTGGACATGGTTTACCTGTGTTGTCATCTGGGAGGCACTAGGTGGGTGTGTAGGAGAGGCAGAGCCCCGAAATGCGGGACCTATGGCATCTGTGTGAAGGCTGTATGAGGACAAAGAAGATCGGCCTCTCTTCCTTTTTATAACACCAAACACATGGCAGGCGCAGACTTATAGTACTCCCACAGACGCCCAAGCCAGCAAGCTGATTACATACCGGGGAATAAGTACACCCTCTCTGGTCAAGAATTCTTGCCGGTCATCGAAGGACAAGCACGGGTGGTTACAGGGGCATGAGGCCCAGGTAGGTTTGAGGATGCCTGAAGCTAAGTTTGGGCTGGGTGAGGCTGAGTGCAGCCCAGCTAAGAGGCCAGGGGGAGTATTAATGGATATGGATGCCATGTGCAAGGCATGGGACATGGTATAAGGAGAGGTTTGGAGCTGTGTATTCGCCCTTGGCATCAGGGCAATTAAATGGGCAGCCTCCCGTCTGGGAACAGCTTAAGTTACATCAAAGGCACGGCAGGAGAGGCAGGTGGGTTGGCTGCCCTAAACAAGTGGGCAGACCAATATTCAGACCAGCCCTGGGACGGCCCACTTGTTAAACCTGGCATATTCATAAAATGAGCCCATGTGGATTCAGCTGTTGTGTTTCCTTTCTCTGCAAGTCTAAGACCAAGATCAGCCCTGGAGAAAGTGGAGCCAAAATCTATGAATTATGCTCATCTACTCTAGGGCTGAATTTGGCCCATAACATTTTTTCCATTATGATGCTCCAAACCCTTTGGACTTTTACCATGGGGCAATTTAAGGTTTATGACAATCGGCCAGTGTTACCCCATGCCAATTTTTATCTCTAAAAATAGCTACAGAACAGGGGATGGTAATCAGTGAGAGGGTGGAAGAGGTCTTTTGGAAGTCTCTGAAGGTTCCAGAAAGGTTGTTTCCAATCCCTCTTCCTTCTGGCTTTCATAGGTGGGGTGAGTGGAGAGAGTAGGGAGCACTTCCCGCAACGATACATTGCATACATACTCATATATAAGTGTGCCCGCATTTGTCCGGCCTGTTATGAGTTTGCCTTAGGACCTGGTCTCACAATATCAAAGGCTCCTTAACAAATCCTCATATTTTCTTGTCTTTGTTTTCTCCCCCATGCCATGCACACAAGAGAAACACTCACTTTGCTGCATAAGTTTCACATACAGCTCCAGTGCTGGTGAGCACCTCTTCTATTTTGATCTACTTTAACCCCTTGCTGCACCCTGCTTCTGCACTAGATGCCAGACTTGAGCTGGCAAGGAGACTGAGAAGCACTTATTGAAACCCTATGAGCACTGCAACCACTGTGGTTTGTGCCCCCCAGCGCATACCCTGTATGCTTCAATACAGAATGTCTTGGGCTGTGCTGCTGGTTTGGAGCCTGACCTCAATCACCTATCCTTCTTGACAGGCACAATGTGGTTGTCTCTATAAAATGTGTCTTTTTCCACTCCATGTTCCTGATCTTACTCCTTACTCTTTGGGACAGGGAATCTCAACCTTGTTAACTGCAATCAGAGAGGGAGCTACTTTTGTAGCCCTGGCAATATCCAGCCCCAGCAAGAACTGCAACATTTAGGTATGGGCCTACTAAGTACCTTGGGAAGGCTGCAGGACAAGAACATCCCAACAATTCATTAGGCTGAGTAGAAACCACTGGGCATATCTCCAGGGGCAGCAGTATACTGACTAGAAAGGACAGATCTTGCTGCATATAAGCCCACTCTCTGAGCTGGGATGGGCAGTCCAGGCCTGCAGGCTTCAGGGGAAGGAGATGGGAGGCAAAGCTAGCTGCCAGGGGAAAGGAGGTAACCTGGGACTGGGGGAATCGAGGCTACTCCTTATGAAGGTGACAATGGTTAAGGCCCTGAAGGGATTGAGCTTGAGTTAGAACCAAAAAGTTAATCCTTTATGTGTTGGTTTTCTTTTCTTTATTTCAATTTAAGATGGGAGGACTGGATTGTGGTGGTACAGGAGGTCGGGAGGCCATGGAGCAGGGTGCCAGGGGTACTCTGCTTGTGAGGCCAGCTTTGATCAGAGACATGTGGGGCTGGGGCTTAGGAACCCAGGGAGCCTATACACATGCAGTGAGGCTGCTCCAACACACTGCTAATTACCATGCTTCAGCAGACTTCAGCTCATTTGATGAGCTTTAGTTAAAGCACCCGCACTGCCATTTTTCAGCATGGGGATGCTGATACATGTGATGCACCAGGCACTTTAATTAGAGCAGCTTTTAGAACCGCTCTAATTAAAGCACCACCACCCCTCTCCCAGGGCACATGCCCCAAGAGTCCAGGGTGGTGGATATGGGCTGAGGAGGCTCATCCAGACAAAAAGGGGCAAAGGCCAAGAAGGCTGAAACCCGGACAATGGTTTGGGGCCTGAGGGGCCCAGTGTCTCTTTGGGACCAAGAGATCCCCTACAAAGGGGGAAATGAATCATCTGTGAGGCACTGCCATAACTATGGGGGTGGCTGGAAGTCATGATTCTAGCCACTAAGGCAAATAAGACCCTCTTAAAGAGGGAGTACACCTATGTACAAAGAAGTAAAAGGCACACAACAGGACACTTTACATTGTATAATGTGACTTATATACAGGGGATTACAGAGCTGCAGCACTGGAGAGCAGCAGGTTGGGGGGTTGGCATGCTGAGGAAGATGTACCTGAAAGAGATGATGGCCCTTCCTTGAGCCTGTAATGCAGGGCATGTCAGAGATCTCACTAGCCCTCTTTCTCACCCCAATCTCATTATTTTCCCTCATCTCAATTCTATCCTTTTCTGTTTCTTTTTTCACTTTCCCTCTCTCTCTCTGTTCCCCTGCTCCTTGCTTGCTTCCTTCCTTCCTCTGTCTCTCCTCTTTTTTTCTCATGGCTATAGGAAGAAGAGACCTCCCCTGATGCCACTGGCCAAGAAGCCCTTTGCTGCCAGGGGCACATACTACTTGCATGCATTCACCCATAAGAATCTAATACTTTCCCTTTTCCCAAAGACTTCTGTAACCCCCATGTGCCAGGTCTCTATACATGGAAAAAGCCCTTCTCTTAGGTCAGATATCTGGAGTCACTTGTAATTATCTGGAGACCTGCAGGTCATTGGACCTGATGTAAGGGGGAACATGAGGACAAAGGTGGATCTTCTATGGATGGGGTTGTTCAAATCCTAGGGCTGGCTGGCTCTCTCTCCCTTTGTCCTTCAGTCTCTGGCTGATCACCAGTATTTCCAGTGTGGGCAGTAGCAGTTATGTCTCAGAAAATGAACATGAGATTACTGAGTGCTATTAAACAGGTGCTGCACAGTGAGGTTG